TTTGAGTCCAATGAGAGGTTACCGAAAAGAATTCTTCACCCTTAACTGATTTCTGATATTGATTCCTATTAATGGAATGAGAATCTTTGCTTTGCTGAAGATCAGCATTGCCCGTGATTCATTAGAACTGATCCCTCGTGTCATCAAAATGACACATGACGAAACCATACTAACATAAGTTACAAATTTACCTCCTTTTAGTCGCAGGTGTAGGGTCATTAATTGTGGGCTGCTGCCAATCGGCTCCTGCTAGCTGTCCATTTAGGCCATCGGATAGTGCGATTCCGACCCCGTTCACGTGGTAATGTGGCAGTGTTTCCCACCCAGCAGAACATGTGACCAGCACCAGCTTCATGCAGCTTGCCTCAATCAGAAATCCGAGTCTCATTGAGTACTGCAATTTCAGTACCGTAGCGATCGAGTCCCATCGCGACCAGTGCTGTGTGTCGCTCTGGACGCTCACTCGTGTTCCGATCGAGTAGTGTGCGCACGTCCCATCACCTGATGTTGAGCGCTTTTCTCGGAGGCATACAATTACGCCGGGCAATCACTGAGTTGGGGATTTGGGGCTATGCTGATGGAGCTGGTAGTTAGCAGTTAGGGCTGGGAGTGAGAATTGAAAGGCGAACGAGAAAAAGGCAGAAAAGAAACGTAAATTGTAGCGTAATTTCACTTATCCAGCGGGCGACCCTTTTCCCTCCAATCCACCACAGTCGACGCAACATCAAATATTCGAATTCATGTAACTTATGTTCAATATATGGATCGATATAGTGCCAGGATGTCCGCACCTGAACAGGAAAACCACCCGGGTCCTCATCTAAAGCGTCCGGCTATGGGATATGCGCCATGATTCGGTTGACTCTCTCGGTTTGTGTTGTGTCACTTAATTAGAAGCATCCTATAACCCTATTTTTATCCAGCGGTCGGCACGGGAGGATCACTATGACGGAATGGCAAAACCATAATCACCATAGGTCAGCGATCGGTCAGGACGTGGCCACCACAAACCCAAGCGAGCCATGGACTTTCACGCCATGTATGGATATATATGTAAAATCACAACTTACTTGGCGGTTTAGCTTTGCTACGTTCGCTGATTGGTGAGAAGGAGGCTACCCTGTCTTTTGCACGTTAGTTATGTGCAACTCGATTCATAGTGAGCGGCGATGTATCAAATCTATTGTCTTAATCACGTCTGACGTTACCGTCCTCCGCAGCTCAGTGGTCTTAACCACGGACTGGCAACAGTCGACTTACGGGTTCCAGCCCTACAGGATCGAGAGAGTCCATGCTACACATTTTATGTTCGCTTCGAGACATCGAAGGAGATGGCTCGCAGTCGCCACCGGTGGCGCGCCTACTCTCATCTGCTAGCCGCACTATCTTTAGATTATAGACCATACTGCGTTATTTATGATGACCATACTGCTTGTGACGCGTGGCCGCGTCCATATGTCACTCACTTGCCTGCGACTGCTTTGTTGCAAGTTGGCCAGCAGACAACGCTTGCCCGGACACTGGAGACCCTGTAAATCGATACCTGCTGCTTGTAAAAACGCCTGCAAGATTCGAGTTTTGTGATTGCACCGCGATCCCCAACATACGACACCGGGCGGTATTTTCTCGTTGCTTTTGTCCAGACATGAAACAACTTCAAATGCCGGTCAAGCCAGTGTGGGAATGGCTCTTCGCCTCCGGGCTGAATCTGCCTTGATCGATGGGATCCCGATGAACAACCGTATGTGCGCTGCCAGATTGGCCGGCTCGTTCAAACCATCGAAGTTGTGTGGGGACAAACGGTGCTTGTTTTTATTTCAGCCTATGCTCCCACAAATTGTAGCGTTGACTCAGTGAAAGAGGACTTCTATCACCAATTGAACGCCCCAGTTGGAATGCTGTCCACTGATGAGCTTCATTTGGGCGGCCAACACGCTGTAGGCTTTCGTAATGATAACGGTAAGGATGCTCGTCTATATCTCGCGAGCATTAACTTGAGACAGCATCCGCCGGAGAGTGGCGTGGCGCCAACCAGCCATGGATGCAGATCGATCACATTGCGATCAGTTACCGTTTGAGTGGATGCGTTCAAAACTATCGCTAGATTTGGGATACGAGCGTGGACTCCGATCACGCACTTGTTTGCGCCAATCTCCGGGTGCTTTTTGGTGGACCTCCGTAATGGCGCTGTGAACGCATTGATATTTGCCGGCTGGCGAAGCCAAATGTTCTGAACGCTGACATCTTACCTGAGTAAACATTCATTGAACACTGTTGAAGATCACTGATCGCATACCCGCAGCAGGTTTGTCAAGCAGCTTAGGGCGTTGGGCCTAACACTTTGGGAAGCAGTTTACTCAGTTTCCAGTTTCTCCATTGGCTACTGATCGCCCTACTCTCTGGGTCGTCTCCTTGGATGCGCTCTCACACGCAGAGGTCGAACGTGACATCCGACTACTGAACCTGAACAAGGCCACCGGAGCAGATGGACTCCAACTAGCCCTCTTCAAATTTTGCGGGCCTGCTCCCTTGAACGATTTACATAAGTTATTAGTGAATCTATGGGAGCAGAAGACTGTCTCGACAGGCTGCAGCCACTCCGTAATAATTCCCCTTTTCAAGGGAGGCCCACATTCCGAATGCGGCAGTCATAGAGTAATCAGACTGCTCTCAATTGCCTCTAATTTACTTGCGTATGTTATCCTCCATAGACTGACTGGCACTCCTTAAAGCCAGATACGCAAGGAGCAAGCCGGGTTTCGTCGAAATCGAGGGTGCATTGATCACATCTTCACATTACGTCAGTTGGAGCACTGCCATTTTTATTGGCGACCCACCGTAGTCGTGTTCTTAGACATCAAAGTGGCCATAGATTCGGTTGATCGATGTGCCCTTTGGGACTGTTTACTCAGGAAAGGTGTACCCGATAAACACGTAAACTTCCTCGGAGCGCTATTTGCGCCTAGGTCGGGTAGGGTGCGGTTTTGTGTCAAATTGTCGCCGCTCTTCAATATCTCCAGCGGAGTGAGACGACGTTGCCCATTGTCACTTTCCTCTTTAACTTCGCCATTAATGAAATTTATGACTGGCGTTCGCCGGCCCGTTGTCTTGCCTTGTAAGCTGGCAGCGCGGGTTCGAGCATGCGTAGGGACAAGGCGACCCTTTTTAGTATCCTTAGTCCACCTGCAACTGCTGGTGCTTGCGCGGCAGCGAAGCATCCGTACTCTTGAGGTCTTCTTCTTACTTCCAAGGCGTGGAACTGCTCCATGGACTTTTATTATGGCGACGACATTGCGCTCACCTTTGGCAGCTCCCGAACATGCCAAGTTGCACTAGATAAATTAGCTCTGACTGTCAGTCGTTTCGGGCTATACTTTGCACCCTAGAAATGCAAAGTTCTCCTCCAAGATTTGCATGGACCCACTGCTGCACTGACCCTTGGTGGTGATCAACTAGAAGTCATCGATAAATTCAAGTATCTGGGCAGCTGTATCAGCGCCAGTCGAACGGAAATTAAGACCCCGATGCGATTTTGCCAATCTCCGCCATCTGTGGCACCGGCGTGACTTTACTCTTGCTCTGAAGAGCAGAATTTGCAATACAGCTGTCCGTTCAAGGCTGCTGTACGTCTGTGAAATCTGGCCCATCAAGTCAACAGACTTAAAGAGGCTAGTTACGTTCGATCATCGATACCTCCGCAGCTTAGCTCATGCTGGGAGCACCGCGTGAACAATGAGCGTGTTCAGCGTCGCGTATTTGATGCAGTAAGAGCTAGTGAACCACTCAGCACCGTTATATCACGCACCAGGCTTCGATGGCTGGGTCACCTGTTGCGGATGCCAGCCCATCGGCTTCTGCGACGTGCGTTTGCTCGCCACGAGTGTGGCTGGAAATAGAGGACGGGAGGCAAAGCGATGACTTACTCAAGAGGAATGAAGTCTTTCACTTCGAAGTTGCCTTCGGTTGGTGTTTCTCGACTGCCTGACTGTAGGGCAAAGGATGACGAACACGTTTGGTTGAATACACTAGCCAGCATCACGAAGATTCTACTTCACTAGCGTTTGTGTTGTGAGTCTCTTTGTTCCTACCCTTCCCATTAGTTTACCCCTCCAATTACGGTCACAAATGTGCTATTAGCGTTATGTTACTTCTTCATAGCTTTTAACTCTACATTGCTCAATGTCTTACCTTTTTCGTATTGCTGTGGTGTGTTTCTTACCCTCGACTAACGTGTATTGATGATGTGCAGTGATCACAGGAGGATTTGTTCCAGAATGCTCGTTTGATACGTTCAGGAGATCCGTAGTGTGTTGGTTCAGGTGTTTTTCTCCAAATATCGGCTCATCGTGCTTGAGTCCCTGCTTTGCATATACCTGTCCTTCCCTGCCTCATCGCAATGCACATTCAGTCACTTTCTAACACGTTGTGGGGAAGCATCAGTATCAATTTCCACGGTACTATTGATACCCACGAATGTGCGTTACGTGCCTGTTCAGGTGTCTTACATTTTACCCGTTTTTGCTTAGTTTTTTGCTCTATGCTCGTATCCTAAAGGTAACGAGTCTGTCTTGTTATTTGACAGCGCGGATTTGAGCATGCGCAGTGACAAGGCGACCCTCGCAGTATCATTAGCCTATGTGCAACTGGTGTTGGTTGCACGGCAGCGAACCGTCGATACTGCGTACCGGCATACTGCTGATGCCTTGCCCTCACTTTCGATTTCACGGTAGCGAGGCATCAGGACGCAATGCTAGTACACTGCTGTCACCTTTCTTTCCAAGTTCCCTTCACCCATCTTGCTCCTCCGTAAGATTGTTCTTCCGTGCAGTCGTGAATCCACGGTCTTATGACGGTGTAGCACCAGTGAGTGTAAAACTGCTGTATCCAAATATTAACTATATTTTCTGCTGCTCGTTTTCATTGCCCCCTTTAGATCTCTTGTGCTTCGTCCTATGCTAGCCCATCACCTTACTTGGAACTTTGTTCCCCGTTCCCTTCAGACGCACCGTTTACCTGTCTGCTAGTTCCTCAGACTCAGGGGATTATCCATCCGATGAGGCAGAGGAGGATGTTACCGGACTGCAATATCGAAACTCAAAGGCAGCAGATGTTCGTGCTAGACGTGCTCGAGCAAAACCCATGCTAACGAACGCTCGTGGACCGTCTGTGCTTATTGGTGGGATGACATCCATCAGTCTTTGTCGGCGCCGCTCTAACGCTGGTCTGGACACAATAGAGAAGATGCGAAAAGCTGGCGCTCGCTCTTCCTCGAGCAGTAACAGTAGTGAAAGTAGTGCCAACGGACGTCGGGGTTCCTCTAGCTCTTCTGATGTGAGTGCTTTTTTCTGAGCAAGTGACTTGTAACTCTTTCTGCTATTTGTTGAGTCGTAACTTTCACCGATTGTGCGTTGTCATGAAATTTTCGTGCCTCTTCTTCACTTCTGCTATTTCTTTGCTGGACGTCTTCTCATATGTTGGATCATTCTCCTTTCACACGTTCATTTTACCCACTATCACTCGTAATTTGGTCACCAAAGCGCGGGGGCTACAGCAGCTACATCCGACGTGCTATTGCAAACAGCTAACCGCGTTGAAACCTCAGCCTGTCAAATTAGCATAGATAACTGAGTTTGTAAGCCGTACACACATCAGGTTGAAAGCTTGTTAGCAAAAATCCGAATGCGTGAACATTATCTAATTTTTAACTGTCCTGTCAACTGTTAATACTGACTAGATGGGTTGTTTAACCTTTGATCAATCTGAGCTTCTGGTCGTCAAGCTGGTGATCAATATATGCACAAACACTATCATGCAGCCAAAGCAGGCAAAGCTGTAAAACAACCTTATCGTGTACAAGTGATTTGCGAGGTGGCGCGTGCTCGCCATTCATTCTGTGCCCTATTGTGTTCGAGTAACGCTTTCTAGAAATCATTCGTTAAACCGGTGCCGTCAATTATTCTCTTCAGTACTCTGTGCTCGGGCATCTGCGCCATTCTTGACGCTGCGTATACCAAGTACCGGTTGGGAGGATTAATATAACTGGACAGCGACATACTCAAATCTCCGGCACTTCTCTATCTCATTATGCTTCTCGTCTGCTTCTGAGCTTTTATCCTCACTCTTCAGTGTGAGTTCAGTTCTCTCGCCGAACTACGATATGGTGGCAGCTAATCTCTCGTGCATTCCTTGTGCATTTCCGAAGATGACACCAATGAGCCTGAGTGTTGTTTATTCTCTCACTCTTATTAACAGTTCGTTCACTCACTTGTGACATTTCGTGGTTTCATACTTCCATTAAGCCGGACTAACATAGCTCACTCGTCATAGCGTCATTTCCCTGACCACAGAATTCCTCTACCTTTCAACCTGTTATGAGCTCATTTTTGAATAAGGATTCTGTTTTCGGGCGAGCACCACCCTATACTCTGCTGCATCAGCAGTGACGGTCCCGATGATCGATTTGACTGGGATTCAGTTCATTGCGGTTCGCGATCCACATTGAAATTGCGTGTCGTAATCCATTCACGCAATGAGTGCTTCATAATGCTCCCTTCAACTCCGTCTTACTTTTCTGCTTTTTGGCTTCAGCCCACATACAGCAGTACGCTTTGACACTTTGTCTCCCATCTCCATCTTATGCTCGTCGATAGAGCAAAAGCTATCACCTTAATTGATGAGGCCAACCGAGCTATCGATTAACTGATGTCTACCGTTGTAAACCAGTTCATCAATGTCTAATTCTTATCACTTCTTGCCTCAACGGCTTCACGGCCACATGACGATGGTTGAATTACATTTTTTACGGATCTTGGTTCGCATAGTTTTCTACGCAATCTTAAGTTTGTCCACGACAGAAACAACTCGGTACCAAAGCTGATATCGCGCTGGACATCTACCGGGAACGCATATTTCCGCCGACGCCCCATTGATTTGTTGTAGTTCGATACATTTATCGAACTTCGCTATGATACATTGCAAAGCCCTGGAATGTCACCTACGCATGTTCGTGGGACTAGTTAGTATCCAGTTCTACAATCAGACATCATTCAGCACTTACTCTTCATATCTATCCGGGAATATATTTCCGCCCCAAATCGGTCTCAAACAAGAAATCGCTTGTATGTTTAGCGGTCTTCGTCCCAAATTTGATCAATGAACCTGAAGTTGAGCCTAAAGCCCAAAACGGTGATGTCTCCTCCGTCCTCGATCGCGTACTCCATACCTTCGACGTTCACCTCAACTTTTGCTGACAAAGAAGTGTACACACTTTTGAAACGAAGGCCTGTCTTTTGCAAAGCATTCACATGCTTGTGCTGACGGTCTTCATATTAGTCTTTAATAACAACGTGATTAATATGTGTTCCGTTATTTTAAATGTTTGTAAAGTTTGTTCGTGCCTAGCTGAGTGTGCCCCGTAAACGGCGAGTATTTTCATCTATGTATTTCTTTGGATTATCATTTCAATTCCACGGACTTCCGTCATTCACTTCGAAACTTTCATACTCATACTGGCGCCTCGACCTAAGGCAGTCGCAAATACAGCGATACCGTTTATATCATCAGATAATACACCAATGCATGCAACACCTATTATCACTGGTAAACTTGTAACATCTTGGTACATTATCCGATCATTTATGGTCGTTGTATTAGATAATGCTTTCAGTTACCTGACCATGTCGTAACATCCAAGTCTCTCTGAAGACGCACAAATCCTCGCTTATATCGTGTCCCTCTCTTATTTCAGCGTTCACGCCGCGGTCGACGTTCACGAGCTTTAGATGGACGGCATCGCGGAAAGCGATCACGTGTTGAATACATCACTACTTTCGGTGACAATGACGATGATCGGGGAGATAAGTCGCACAAATCAGGTGCCCGTACTCCTCTCTCTGGAGCACCGTGGAAGGACGAAAATCCTTGTACTGCCACCTCCGCGATGGCAGCCTCTGTCGTCTCAAAAGTGCTCTACTCTTCCAAAAAGGATCCATCCGTTGGCAGATTGGACACTTCCAGCGTTTCTCGCTACATCCGTCGTGAGACTCGAAATCGGTTTGTTTAGTTCTGCATTGTTTGTTCTCGCCAAATCGATTTCTAATTCACTCGATATTTCCATATACGGTGTTTGTTGTTCTCAATTATTATACCTTATGAGCGATTTCGACAGATTATTCACTTGTTAAATAGTTCACGAAACTAAAAATCCTTAAACAGCTGAGCAACGTATCCTTGCTACCAGTGTAACATGCACTTTCGGTGGATTATGATTGTCGATTGTGCCCGCCCTATCTGTTTTGTTTTGTGGGATTCACACTTGACTTCGTGATTCCATACGTTCTTGGCTTCCAACGGCTACTTTTCAGACTATGCTCTGGAACGGAATCCGCCGGGTTTTTAAAGGCATGCTATTATGAAGCAGATGAATATTGGGTGTTATCTCCCCGAAAATACTGCAGTTCACGCCGCATTTCGACCATATTTGATCTCATCAGGTAGATATAGTAGGTATCGAACCCGGGATCATTAGGATGCTAGTTTCCACCTTTATCCAACGGGCCACGACCGGCCGCGCTTGACACGGTCCCAGTGGTCGAATCGGCCATGTTTCACTTCACTGTAAACTGTAGTCTACATTGCGATTGTGTGTCGTAGTTAATTCACACAATGAGTTCAAAATGATTCTTTAACCAAACAACCGGCGGCTGTTCCCAAACTCCTCGTTGTTTTTTCGTAGGCTCATCTCATAAACTTCACCTTGAGACTGTTACTGGGTTTTTTCGCTTCTTCTGTTTAGGTTTCTGTTATCTATCATATGCACTCGTCTTAATGACTCTCAGCTCCACTCTGCACGGCCTTGTTGATATTGTTCCTTAATCGATTTCTCCTTATCTTTCCTTTGCATTTTTTAATTAACTCAACTTGGGCTATCTTGCCAGCACATGTCTGGAAGTTTACTGGAAGTTTGTAACTACTGTATTGCCATCTTATGTCAAAGGTGTAAACTGGATCCATCTTCGATCGGTTTTTACCGCCGATTTTAGATAAGGAGTTTTTGATGACCTGAGTCCGGAACATCTCATCGATTGACTTGACCTGACTTAATCTAGGACGGATAAGACGGTAGGACTTCTTTTAGCATTCTGAAATCAGGATACTTCAGAAGATTCATGAATCTGCAAGGTTCTGTGACCGCAAGTATTTGGCCTCGGCGTTTAACGCGGAACACCACCACAACCATACTGTTATCAATAAATATTTTGTAAACATCTTCTTTAGTCAATCGCATAAGTCGACTCGCTCGCATTCTTACCTGCCATCTCTGTTACCAGTACTTAAAACCCCATTATATCCAGACGCTACACTGTCTTACCGGATCGTGTGTTCTGGCTCTTTCGATAGAGTTAACTAACCCTCGTGCGATCACCCAGCTTTATGACGCACTGAAGACTATCTCGGCTGCGCGAGTAATCTTTGTAACACCGGTTGCGAAATCATTTAGCGCTTTCCGAGATTGTGTTTTCATTGTGACTTGAAACCCCTTCTGGGCAGTATTTTCGGGTGATATGAATTGCAGTCATCCTACTCACTAGAAGCACTTTGTGTATGACCACTTTTACTACTGTTCATCTCCTTTTTCGCGCTCTATTCTCGAGTAGCCAAGCCCAGAGGTTACTGTACTTGGTTTTGTTATTTGACGCTGTTCGACATCCTTCCTTTCCAACAACCTTCATACATCTATATAACGTGTCCATTTGAATAGGAAGCTTCTTCTTTCGTTCTAATTGGATTCCTAGTCCCACAACATATGCCCGGTGCTGTGCAGTGGCTTGTTTTGAGCGACTAGTTCGATGTCTATCGTCCTCCCACTTTTCCTTCTTTCCATAGCTCTTCATCGTCTGAAAGCTACCGCCGTCGCAACCGGAGATCGCCTGCACGAAAGTACCGCTCTCATTCTTCCCGTTCCAGCAGCTCAAAATCATCCATTGATCTCCGACGTCGCAGCCGCCGTCGTAGTTCCTGCTCTAGTTCCTCTAGAAGTTGGTCTCACATTCGGGGTACCCATTCAGTTAAGCGTGCCCGACGCTCTTCATCTCGTTCGAACTCTTCTCTGCATAGGTCACTTTCTCGTTCTCCTCTTAGTCAGCGGCTTTCATCATCTGGGTAGGTACTGCTCCCTGGGTTTTCAGACTGCAACTGCAATTTTTAGCCAGTTGCCCTTTCACTAGGTGGATCGTTAGTACATGGCTTCTTCAGCTTGCTCTCACACTGTTGATCATTCCATGTTGTTACTTTTCATTGGCAAGCGACCTGGAGCACTACTGAGCCTTCTGTTTATTGGTCGCAAGCGTAGCGTCCCATTGATTGATGCGCGACATTGTACGTATCATCCTCATTTGCTTACCTGGCTAGCTGACCATTTCGATCTGTGGCCACGTTATCCTTTCAATATATTAGCTTGGGTGCAATTTTCTTGCACAATGACATTCTACGTTTCGATGAACCTAACAGATTTGATGTACAACGCTTGCATTCATTTGTTCGTTATCTTTGTATTACCCATTACCATACCGATGTATGCAGCTTGAGAGTACGCTAATTCTCTGGTCTTTACAGGGGCTCTGTTAACTTTGTCCAGCACTTTTACTCGCGCGCAGTCCCATCCTTTTCATCCTCTTTATCAGTTAACCACACCGCTTAGTTGCTATAAGCAATCTTTCGTACGAAGCATTCAGTGACGTCTACGCTGACACATAATCCATGGTTTGAGGTCTTCCATCACACTAAGAAAATGTCATCTCACCGTCATCGTCGTTTATTCACACTATAGTCTTATGTTTGTGGTCTGTCACATTGATAAAATGTGTGCATCTCTGTTTTGGATGTTTGTTGAGGATATTTGGACTTTACATTACGCATCTTCATCTATAGCATAGCCACTTAAGTTTTCGGTTGTATAATGACGATGGTAATGATACCGACCGAGGTTTCACCTTGCCTCCACTTCCCCCACCATGGTTGGCTTTGGCAACTTGAGCCCATGCTCGTTCCAAACAAGACACAGCAGCTTGCGTCACTCAGTATATCTGCGATGCTCAATTCATTCGGGTGGATCTATTTTTAAGTGTACCACGTTCTATGCGATTTGCCTTTTGCTATATATATATATATATATATATATATATATATATATATATATACATATATATACATATATATATATATATATATATATATATATATATATATACATGTCAGGAATTGTGTGCCCCAGCTAGGCAAGTTCGGTAGCACATCAATGTGTCAATAACGAATGCGTGAGTGGTCTCATCCAGCATCAAACTTCGTACGGATCAGCCGCTACCCTACAGGCTTTCGTTACGTAGACCTCTATTAAGTCCACTGTTACGATGCGGTATGGGCCATCTCCGAATAAATTTGTTACCTATCCCTATACCAGCCGGACTTACACTGGATGTAGAGTGTATGCATTAAGCTGTGAATAGTGTAGCGCGTCCGTTTCCCTCCTTATGTTTTGTACTTTTGACATGACATCAGCAGTACCGACGCTTCACTGCCACGCAACTACTAACAGTCGCGTGCGAGCTAGAGATACTGCGAGGGTCGCCCGGCCCCCTATACAAACTCAAACCCGCGAACTCAGCGTTGCAAAGGCAAATGCCTTGTCTTTTCCGCCACGAGTCGGCTTGACTTGTAATTATTCTGTGCACTCATTCCATAGCTCCGGTTTGTCTCGCATCGACCTTATTGATGCCATCGTTCGATTCCTGCTGATACTTTCCTTCGTTTTTCTGTCCTTTCTACAATGCATTCTAAATCTCGTGTGTATTTCTACTTCAACTACAGCCGACGAAACGATCGCACCTCACCAGATGTGTCTCGCCATTCACTTGAGAGCGCAGGTATGAACCCACCTCGTGATGACCCTGTATCTTCTCCACCCGTTCGAAAGCGTTACTATCGCCCAGAACTGGAATCGGAGGAGGAATCTATCCTCTCTGAAGAGGCTAGTGAAGAAGGTTCAACTACCTCAATTGCTACTGGAAATCGGTGAGTGCCTAAAATGGGTCTGTTCCTACAACGCAGTCTTCGTGTATGAGGTGGATTAGTATTGATGGTAATAATAATCTATATTCTCCAGTTTACGAGACATGCTTCTATCGGCATGATCAACCCTTGCGATTGTTTCGTATGGTATCTACAACATATTTAGAATGGTAGGTGGAAATAAAAGAATCGTCTAGTTTAAAGTCCCGAATGGCTGCAGAATAATTCGTGGCGTCTTGGCTGAAAACTCTGTGTACGGATGGAGCTAAGTTTTCTTTTCCTTGTGTGAAGGATGAAGAGCAATCGTGTGGGCGATAAGTGAATCATTAAGACTGGAATTCACACAAATAGCATCTAATTTGGGCTGAACGTTTTCCGTACCTTGTAGCATACTAAACTGGAGTAATAAATTACGGAGCTCTTATTTTCAACTCAGCATCTGTACATGAAGGCCGAAACGAATAGTAGGTGGGATTTATTTGTTTTGCGAGACAGACGTGATTGACATTGGTCAACCGGCTAATGTGTTTTTGATTTGAGTGTACGCTAGTCGTATACGTGTAAGAGAAATTGCCTATATGTTAGTCTTTCCCACCGCGCCTTCCACCTTCGCATCTAACGAGGCGTTCCGCCGCTTTCGACTTGTTCAATACAGTTCTGGGTTGATATTGTTCCCAATTGACGTCAGTGGCGCGATTCATGTCATCTTTTAGTCGAAATGATGGTGCCGGGTCATGTGTGTGTGCGCGTGTGTGTGTTTACACCTATACGTTTGCTAATTAGCAGTAAAGCCGCGAGGACCCTGTTATACCGATACCATCGCATGATATTCGGCTGTTCATAGTGTGATGCTGACACCGTTAGGCTCTTTTACCCTTAAATTTTACTTGACACAACAAGCTTCCATGTTGGTTAGGCTTTCTCTCTGTGTTGTGTTACAGAAAGTCAGCGTTCATTCCGAGAGTTCGAGTTCGATCTCCATATATAGATCGATCCACTATTGCGTCACTGTTCTCGACCTAAACGCTAACTCCGTACCATGTTGATTTCCACTTATAGATTGATTCTGATTGTATGATAGCTGTTGGTTGGTACAACTTATTGGTATACTGTCGTTTCTGTTTTACCTAACATCAATAGTTTGCATCACCGCTCTTGTTTCTCAGTCCTCAGTGTTTAGTTAACATATCAGCATATAAGCTTTGGCCAGGCACGGGATTGTCTTCCTCCACTCTGGCAAACAACTCGTGCAATTTCACTTTTCATCGTTTTCAGCATGGCTACTGTCTTGGATTAATCTAGCCGTGTAGTGTTTAGGCGAGGTTTTTTGTGCCGCCGTCACCACACCAGGCTCCCATTCTTGATTGACATGAGTCAATCAGTTATTGTTCTAGTTAGTTGGGTCGATATCTCGTCACAAAGTATCAACTTCCGCTTGTAGTGGGAAGGTCGTTAGTTTCCTTACCATTCCTTTTGCCCGACATTATGTTTGTAATTTTCACACAATTTACTGGCAGGCGTACTCGAGTGCAACCCCACTTGTTGAGGCGTGATGGTTTTGCGGTTTATCTGGCGCACTAAAGCGAGTTGTCATCCTGTCAAGATTGCAGAGCTTCAGCGTCCCATTTGGTTTTCCGACGGCAGTAAACAATTAGAAACGTTAGTGCACCTGTCGTCTACTTTACTCTGATCATTTTCGCATCGAACATTCCTTGTCATCAATCACGTGATATTCGGACTTTTTTCAACCAACTACACAATTCTATTCCAGATACATCAAACAGGATGTGTCAACCAACACTCATCCGCTCCTCTACATCCTATTTAAAGTCACTTCATCCTGCATTATCAGCTGTTGGGTCTCCAGCTTATGGAAATGCCGGCCCATAAACCAAGAAATAACCAGCTTGTCTTGTAATCTGACGCCACGGGTTCGAGTCTGCGTAGAGGCAGGGTGATCATCGCAGTATCTTTAGCCCACTTGCAACCGGTGATACTGCGCTTCAGCGTAGCGTCGGTACCAGCGTACTGCTGATGCCTTTCTACTTTATCTTTAAAATGTTCAATACATTGAGAGATTCTTTTAAGCTTCTACCTTGTTTCTCTGGAGATCTCATTTTCACCTGTTGTCTAGGCACTACCATTGGTTGTCAGCTAAGCATTTCCATTGTAACGCTTGTATCTTTTTTCATCCTCCAGCCTCTATGCTGTCGGGAATTCCACTTATCTGATTCTCCCCATCACGCCTTAGTACAGTGCTCTTTAACACAGCCTTAGAAGTTGGTTTCACGTTTCTTCTATTGTTCCACTGTTAGTCCAGCAATATAAGCACGCGCACACCGTCCATGCGGCTGCTAACGACATTTCACCTCTTCTTTATGCCATGCGGCTCCCCGGACAGGCAGTCCGAAACCTTCTGTATGTGTCTACGGAATTCAGTCTCATTATACAGCAATGCGCATCTTCACTCCGGAATCCTGGTTGTCTCGTCGAAAACCGTCTTTACTTTGTCCGCGAAATTCTTACCTATTCATGTTTTCATTTCGGAACTTAGCGCGCAGTTTCGTGTTTGTATCCCGATGACTACATTACCATTCTGTATTCCTTGACACTGATTATCAGTGTGCATGCCTGGGGTACTCCGACACGTACCGACGCTTCGCAACTACAGAACCCCTGTCAGCTGCCTATAGCCTCGTGATACTGTGAGGCCGTCTGCACCTGCGCAGTATCGAGCCAGTGATTTATGCCTTGTAAGCCAGACACCTTATCCACTCTGTTACTGGCCGACCATTTCTCATGATGACAGATGGACGTTACCTTCTTAATTATCAGCGTCTTTCTTTGAAGCAAAACAAATTGTGATACGCAGCCTCCTTGCCGAGATCCTTGTTTTGTTTGTCCGATGTTGAATGGCATTAGTTTTGATCGGGTTATCGTTTGCTTGGTAGCTACTATCTGCACCATCCACTTGTGCTTCCAGTCAAGAATGCAGCAATTAGCTCGCAGTCAATACCAGGGATGCGTTTCAATTCAGTCAGTTCATTTGAATAACTGATCTAAACACCTAAGTGCGACGAATCCATTTGACACCGCCAAAGTCACCGATAAGCAATACCTAACAACGGTGAAATGGGGTTCAACACAAATAGAATGCAGCGAGGATGGAATCGAGATGAAATGAAAATTATCAGCTAAACGCGGGAAACTTAATGCAGGAACGCTTCTGCTTTATGTCTTATACAATCTCCAACCAAAGTCTTTAGTTGAGAACCCCACTCGTTCTCCTGTTTAGGTCTGGGCAACCTGACAGTATCCTGCCCACGCAATATTATGAATCTTTCATCAAACAAATTGCTGATGCTCTGGCCACCGCAGAGGATAATCAACGGTGCCCTATCTGCTGCATCAAGCAAGGCGGATAGGGATTTGGATGTCACTCTTCAAGCCTTCCCGTCTTCTTACACTTTTTCTCCCTTATGGTCCCGTTCCAACTTCACTTTTATCCCCCCAGTTTTTAACTCCTCGATTCTTCGCCATCCCCCAACACGCTTTGCTAGGCGTTTACCTTCTAGTTTCAATGCACATGCAATTGCTGAGCGTCACTCCTGACCTGTCGACATGCTCATGTCCAACCAATCGGTCCACCCCATTACATCGGCTTCTGTTTCTAGCCCTCGATCCTCCTTCAGATTGATATGCCTCAATGTACGCACGCTGCTACAAATCCGTCAACAAACGGCACTTGCCCTAACTTTAGAGACCATCTCTATAGATATCTGCTGCTTATCGGAGACCCGCCTGCAAGACTCGAGCTCTGTGCTCACTCTGCGATACCCTTCAGATGAGACCAGCAGTATTCTCTTATTGCGCTTATCCGGTGACGACGCAGCTTCGAGCACCGGCCAAGCCGGTGTTGGTATTGGCCTGAGTCCTCGGGCTGAAGCTGCTCTGGTTGATTGGATCCCAATCAGTAGCCGGATGTGTGCGATCCAATTGGCTGGCTCATTCAAAACTTCGAAGTCGCGCGGCACTAACAGGTGTCTATTCATCGTCACTGCCTATGCGCCCAGAAACTCTAGCGATGATTCGGGAAAAGACGACTTCTACCGCCAACCGATCGAGCTCCTTCGCCAACGAAGAAGCACGGACACTGTTGTGCTGGCAGGGGATCTGAACGCAAAAGTTAGAAAGTTGTCCACTGATGAAATGCATCTGGGCGGTCAGCAAGGTGTGGGCTCCTGTGATGATAACGGTGATCGGTTAATTAATTTTTGTGAAAATGCCCGCTTACTTTTTGCGAGCACTAACTTACGACACAGCATCAGCCGGAGGGTGACTTGGGGCCCACCAGCATCAAAGCAGTTATGGACACAAATCTATCACATTGCGATAACTTACCGATGGAGAGGCTGCACTCAGAACTGTCGCTCGATTTGGAGCACATGTGTGGACACCGAGCATACACTTGTATGAGCTGACCTGCGGATACGTTTTGTCGCACCCCACGACGACGCTCTGAACGCATCGACACCAGCCAACTGACGAAGCCAGCTGTTCTGAATACCTAACAAATTACGCTGACATGCGAGTTGAGTAAGCGCTCATTGGAAACAATTGAAGGTCACTGGTCGCATGTTTACCAGACCTTACTAGCAGCAGGCAAATCCTCATGTGGTAAGTCTAATAGCCAACATGAACATTGGGTCTTTTCGCAGTCTCTGGAACTTATCGATGCGCGCCGGCACATTCCGGCTGGAAATGAGCACAATAAGACCCGCAGAAAACTTTTGGGCAAAGCTGTGCTAGCCTGAAGAGAGACCGCGAATCCTGGTGGTCTCTTTGTGCGTCAGAGATGGAAGTAGTTGCTGCCCTTGGTAACCATCGAAGGTTATTCCGTCTGATACGAGAAACGGGCAGCAGGAGACCTGGTGTTAGATAAATAAGTTGTGACGAGAGTGGACAGCCTATCCAAAATTTGTCAAAACCTTTAGATCGTTGGG